AAAAAAAAAAAAAAAAAAAAACAACTGAAACTTAGTTTTAAGCTTTCATTTGATGAGTAAAGGGCTTACCAAATAATTTGAGAACATATTAATAGCCATGCATATGAAAACTAAATATGATGCATTTGCTCAATCAACAAGATATAATAATACACGAATATAAATATTGCAGTGTATTTTCAAGTAGAAACTAATTACAACTTTTAATGGCAATCGCTATAGCATTTTATTGGATTTATGTTACTTTCAGTTTGGTGTTTTTCTTTTACTTTATTTTTTCCTTATTTTTTGCGGAACTGCGAGCTGGATTCTTTAATGAGCCACTCGGCGAGTGCAAGGCTAACCTAATCAGTTGGCTCACTTAAGTAATAAAGCAATTTATCGCTTTTCAATATCCTTTAAGCAGTTTTTGCCCTTTTACTTCCTATTATTACACTTCCTGGGCCGGGCCCTCGAGCGCTGTGAATGAATAAGGAACCCACACAAATTATTTTCGCGCTGGTTTCGTCTTATTTTTACAGCTCCTTCGCCTTGTCAGGATGCGGAGACTGTGGAGACCGCGGAGGCTGTGGCTGTGGCTGAGTCTGGGTCTGTTGCTTTTGCTCTTTTAACTTGTCGCTTCGCTTTGCCAGCGGCACACGTTGCCATTTTTATGGCCTGAGCTTGGCATAGGGATAGGCATCGGGATCGGGCTAGGGATTGGGATTGGCATTGGGATGGAGACTGGTATTGGCTTAAGACTGGGTCATATCCTGGGCCGCCTGCACGTTTCTGTCCGATGCCGTTGGCGTTGCCAGACCAGTTTGATTTTAGTGGCCAGCGCAAAGCAAGGGCCAGTAATGATTTTATTACACGATTTTATATCGAATTTTATTACCTTTGTACATGACGCTGCTGCCGATGCCGTCGATGCGGACAAGAGAACAGAGCAGGAGGACAGCGCAAGGATTGCGCTTATGTCGTTGTCCTTACGCCTTTGGCAACTGCCATTGGAATTTACGCACTCATAAAATTGGCCGCTTGAATTGTGTGGGAATTCCAGAGCGCAAAATTCTTTGCGCTGACCCCCAACTCTGGCCATCATAATTCAATATCATAAAACGTTTATCCAATTAATTTCGACTGGTAATATTTATAGCCAGTTCGTGTAGTGATGCGAATAGAAGTAGAGCCTTAAACGAGCTTTACACTGTGTTGCTGGGCCAAGTTTATGGGATCACTAAAACAAAGGAGTCGGGTCTTGTAGCAGATATGTTCAGCTGGGAATAATATGGAGACTTTAGATTGATAATAAGTATTTATTTGAAAATAGTTGTTGCTTATATAATTGGGGTAAATATTTTAATGTGGACCGACAGTGTATATATTACGGAAAAGAAAAAGCTCTGCTCTGCCCAGAAAGGCAAGAACTAATTATTAAGCTGATGTAAGTAAGCCGACGTCTTTTCCCTTGTTAATGTTAAGTATATCCAACTCTTCGTTATACGTTAATATA